ACATACATACATACATACATACATACATACATACATAACAGTATATGCTTTCTTCATGAAGGAATGTATTACCAATCAAAAGTCATTTTTGTTATATACTTAATTATTAGGTTTGTTTTCTGTGAATAATTATAGAGAGTTATTTTCAGCTCAGGATAAACATTTCAGATAATAGCTGAAATGTATAATGCATTTTATATAAAATGAATGGGAAAATTAGTCAAGAAATTCTTTTTTTACAATCAACTTGAATATCATAACAGCACAATTTGCAAATCAACCTATCATTACTGATGTTGTACAATAAGATTTTTAAATATCTTTACTGGAAATACAGAAAAAGCAGAACTCTAAAGAATCCAATCATTGGGTAGACTAGATAATATAACCTCCAGTTTTCTTATCAAGTTCATGTTTATCTCATTCCTAAGAAGACCTGATAAATGTTCATTATTAACAAAGGCAGTGCTATTGTCTTAATATTTTTCTTCACATTTCATAAATTCAAACTAGAGTGAACTTGAAAACATGTTTAACATCTTTTTCACAAATTCAAAAGATAAGGAATCCTAACATCTTCTGGAAATTTAAAGACTACTTTTAATCCGTGAATTTGGATAATCACAATAAAAATGAATAGCAAATACATGAGTAGATAAAGATATGTAGCAAACATCATAACACGAGTAGTCACATATCTCCTTTAGCACCTCGCAGGTCCCGCAAAATTGCTTTATTGACATCATCATTTGTATGTGTAAAAACAAACAGGAAAAAAAAGAGAAAGGCAACCATAAATAAATAAATACATACATACATACACACACATACCAACATTTACATTTAAAAATCATTCAGCCCAATTTTCACACACATTATTAAACCTGGACCACACTGAGTAATCTGTTTTGATACATTCATATAAAGTATTCCACATTTTTAAATTATAATTCAAAGGTACTATATTGGTGTTCATGACAACACATATATAGATATTAAACAAAAAATGGGGCAACAGTGGGGCAAATAAGTGTCCCTTCATCTATTTCACATTTCCAACATAGTGAAATCGACAGCCAACCTTTTTAAAACATTCCCTTGGGAATCCCCAAAATGTGCAAGAAAATCTTTCGTTCAATTAATCTCATCTTACTTAATATTCTTTCAGTTTCTCAGCCACTTATTTATTAATATGGGATATTTCATATCTTCCCTCTAGAGAGCTTGTAAATAATATCCATCCCTGTGATACTGTTTAATTATTTATTTAAAGAAAAAACACACTGCACCAAATAAAAGGCCATTATTACAACCAACAAGACTATCACTACAGATTTAATTTTTCTAAATCTACATCCAGAATGTCAGTTAGTTTCCAAATATTATCAGACATCTGGCAACCTTCAGAAAACCAGATTGTGCAGGATGTGGTAATTGATGGCATTAATGTCTGCACTCTATGTGGTTGCTGTTAATTTCTTTGTATCAACATTTAACAAGAAATCACAATATCACAATGCAAGCTCCATATAGCCTGTGGGTAATGATGTGATGAACCTACAAAACAGGCAGAGCTTGCATGACAATAGACGTTTCATCTTTGGTCACTCCCAGTTACCTAAGAAATTGCGTAAGGCTTCACTTTTTCATGAGATAGGCGGTATCTAAATTTGAAATATAAATAAATAAATAAATATACAAAAATAAAATAAAAACCTGCTATGCTTTGATTTATCACTATTACCTAGAAATCTAGGTGCATTGGATTCCTTTCTGACTCCTTGAAAACTTCATACCACAACTGAAGGTAAGTTTAAGACTCTTTCTTTCTTTCTTTATTCAATTTCTGTTGCCGCACATCTCAAACAAGTGACTCTGGGCAGCAAACGATCATAAAATCAGTTAAAACCAAGTACAAACACAATACAAAAATAAATATATATATATATAGCAGCCAAGAAAAATTATAACCATAGATGTTACTATAACCTGGAACTGGGGCCCTTAACACACTTGGGGCCCCAGGCCCGGGCACATAGCCAGGTCTTCAAGGCCTTACGAAAGGCCAACAGGGTCAGGGCCATCCTAATTTCTGGAGGGAGAATGTTCTGGGCAGGGGCTATAGGTCCCACATTCCTTGGCTGAATGGGACCCGTAGCATGCCCAACCTGCTGGACCAAATTGGACAGGTAGAAACAACTGGGAACAGATGATCCCTCAGGTAACCTGGTCCCAAACCATGAAGGGCATGAGTGCCTGTGAGCAAAATCACGCTCTGGGGAGATGGGCAGCATATAAATTCAATAAATAAATAAAATACAGGAATGGGTGAAACTGGTGCAGAGCCCTCCTAGCCATGGCTGCTCTTCCAGTAGGAGCCATGAGTCTAAGAGAACCCCCAGTTCGTGCACTGGGTCCATCTGGGGAAGTGCAACATCATCTAGGACCAAAGGTGGAAGAATCTTACCACCAGAAGGTCCGAGTACCCAAAGCCACTCAGCTTTGCTTGGGTTGAGCTGATGCCCACTGCACCCCATTCAGGCCCCTACAGCCTCCAGACACTGGGATAGGACATCCATCCATCACCCAGGCAGCCCAGAGTGGAGATATAAAGCATATTGATGTAACCTCACCCCAAACTGTTGGATCAACTCACCCAGTGGCCTCATGTAGATGTTAAATACAGAGGAGAGAGGACCAAGCCCTGGGGCACCCCACAAAGTAGTGGCCATGGGCTGGACCTCTCCCCTCATCAATACTGACTGGAACCCACTCTGGAGGAAGGAGAAGGACCAGTGCAATACAGTGCCACTGACCCCCAACTCCCAAAGCCAGTCCAGAAGGATACCATGATCGATGGTATTGAAGGTGCTGAAAGCTCAAGAAGAGCAAGGATGGATGCACTACCCCCATCCCACCTCTACCAGAGATTTTCCAAGAGCGTGACCAATGCTGTCTCAGTCCTATAACCCAGCCTAAAACTTGACTGAAAGGGGTCCAGACAATCTGCTTCATCCAGGGTCCTTTGAAGCTGCTGTGTTACCACTTTCTCCACAACCTCCCTAAAAAGGGGAGGTTGGTGACTGGATGAAAACTGTCCAGACTAGCTAAGTCGAATGATGCTCCCTTGAGGAGAGGGTACACCACCACCTCCTTAAGAGCCAGAGGGACCACCCCCTCCCTCAAGGAAGAATTAACCACTTCCCATACCCAATCATACATTGTCTCCCAGGCAGTCTTGACCAACCAGGAGGGGCATGGATCTAACATAGAAGTGACTGAACTAACAGCTACAAGAACTCTGTCCAATTACTCAGGTTCAATGGGATCAAACTCCCCCCAGATAACCATGGAAGACTCAGCCCCTCTAACCTCCACTGGTTCTGCCCTAAGGCTGGAGTCCAACACAGAGTGAATCTGAGTGACTTTATCCACTGGATGTGCAGCATATTCCTCAACTGACCCTGTAGTTGAATCTCAGTATTACTCTGAGGAGGGCTGCTGGGTGGCTATCTGCAGACTCAATAAGGGCAGAGAAATAATTACGTTTTGCCACCCTTACCACCTTGAGGTAGGCTCCATTAGTGGCTCTAGCTGATGTTTGATCGTCTTCACTCCTTGTCATTCCCCAGCGGTGCTGTAGGCATCTCTTTACCCTCTTCATCTCCCTCAACTCATCTGTAAACCAGAGAGAGTTCTGGAATCCATGGCTGCTCAGGTGCGATCTGGTCCAGAGCCACAGCTGCTCTCCCATTCCAAGCAGCTACCAAGGCTTCAGCCAGATCATGTAGCGGACCTTTTGGAAAAAACCCAAGCTCCTTCTGAAACCCAATCAGGTCCATCAGTCACCTGGGGCAGGTCAATCTAAGAGTTGCAGCCTCCCTGTGGAGGGGGCTGGCACCAGAGAACTGGAGGCTCACCGGGGAGTCATCTGGCCATGACATGGGAGAAATCAATATCTCTCCCAAATCCAGAACACCCTAACACTGCTCTGACAGAAAAAACAAGTCAGGTATATGACCACTATTATGCATTGGCCCCTGGATGACTTGAGACAGACCCATGCTGTCATGGTAGCCTTGAACTCCCGAGCTACCTCAGACCCCACACCCAGAGAAGGCAAATTGAAGTCCCCCAAGACCATAAGCCTGGGGAACCTCATCACCAAACCAACCATGGAGTCAAGAAGCTCAGGCAGAGAGGTTGCTATGCAGCAGAGAGGCTGGTACAACAGCAACAGTCCCAACTGATCCCTCTTAGAGCCCAACTTAACAAATAGGGTCTTGCACCCAGAAATCTGAGGGGCAGCA